AATGCCTTTCTTCAAATATTTTCCTACAGGCACAATGGGGTACTAATAACCAAGCAACAGCTCTAGGTGATGACCACACTGTTACTGTCTTTTACTGGGTTTTCTCCCTTCATAAATCATTTTAAAATGTATTTTATAGTGAGTGGGCAGGGGTGGAAAAGAAACCAATGATCCAATTTCTTCAGCTACTGCACAATATCAAACTTCTTACAAAGTGCCAGTGTTAGCTCTTTCTTAGGAGTGTTTTTAGAACAGAGTGCAGTGCAGGAAAACAAAGCAGGAGGAAAGATTTCACACTTGTTTGCTGACACACACACCCCCCACGTGTCAAAACAGGAAGTGCATTATTCAGCAGCACAGGAACGCTGGGCACGGACACTGCACACACTCGGTGAGTCAGAGCACCCAGGCTGAAGATGGATCTGGTGTGAGAGAAGTGCTCATGGTGAGTTAGTGCAGAGCTGTCACCAACATCAGGCTCAGCTTATTTTGCCAACCTTCTGTCTGAAAAGCACCCAGATAATCCAAAAAGGGGCCTAAGAGAGAGCTAGAATGGGACTTTTTATAACAGCAGGTAGTGATAGAACAAGGGGGAACGGCTTCCAACTAAGAGGGCAGGTTTAGATTAGATAAGAGGAAGAAATTTTTTCCTTGTGAGGATGGTAAAACACTGGCACAGGCTGCCCAGAAAGCTGAGCATGCCTCCTCCCTGGAAGTGTTCAAGGCCAGGCTGGATAAGCCTTGGAGCAATTCAGTGTAGTGGCAGGTCCCTGACCCTGGCAGGAGGGCTGGAACAAGATGATCTTTAACGTCCCTTCCAACTCAAGCCATTCTATGATTCCATCAGGATCTGTATTTGTATTTTCTTACACTGATGTACAGACAGTGAACTAAATGTTACAAGCTGTTACTTCTGTCTTAAGTCCTGCTTGAACCACTTTCACTGAACAACTTTTGCTGCTACCTTTTCAAAGTTTTGACAAAAGTACTCCTGAGTACTCTTAAAATTAGGTTCAAAACCAACTTGAGTAAAGCTTATAAACATGGGGAAAAAATAAAGTACTGCAACCAGTTATGCAAAAGATTAATGTGCACTTCTTCTGCCTCACTGGGTAAAAAGTTGATTGTTCAGATGTTTGACATCTCCATTAGTGACCTGGATGACGGATCAGAGTGCACCTCCCCAGCCTGCAGAGGACACAAAACCAGGAAGAGCTGTTACTATGCCAGGAGCTCGTGGTGCCATTCCACACATCTCACTGGGCTGGAGAAATGGGCAAACAAGAACCTCATAAATTCAATAAAGAGACACGTAAAGTCTTACACTTGAGAAAAAACAACCCTTTGGAGCAGGACAAGTTGGAGACAAAGCCTGGGAAGCAGCTCTGCAGCACAGAGCCTGGGGTCCTGCTGGACAAACTGCCCACGACAGCACCCCAGGCTGTGTGAGGCAAACACTGCCAGCAGCCCAGGTGATCCTGCCCCTCTAACTGGGGCTCAGACCCACCCAGAGTGCTGTGCCCAGTTCTGGCTCCCCATCCAACAGAAACATGGGCACACTGCGATGAGTACAGAGACATCACCACCAGACTGGAGAATCTGCCATGGGAAGAGGGGCAGAGAGGGCTGGCACTGTTCAGCCCAGAAGAGGCCCAGGGGAAGCCTTGGCAAGGTGTGTGAATGTCCCTGATGGGGACAGCAAAGGTGGAGCCAGACTCCTCTCAGCAGTGCCCCATCAAAGTACAACAGGCAATGGGCACAAACTGCAATACACAGAATTTCCTGTCACCAAAAGATTACATTCCTCTAGTAGCACAACAGCAGTCAAACACTGGACTAGCTTTGCCAAGAGAGGCTGGAGTGTCTCTTGGAAGAGAACTGAGAGCGGTGTGGCCGTGGTGCTGAGCAGCCTGCTCCAGCTGACCCTGCTGGGAGGGCTGGTGCTGCACCACACTGTCTGCAGAGGGGCTTTCCCACCTCACCGTTCTGTGGGCCCAGGACATGCACTTCATAGAAACCCAGTCTCCTGCATGCTTCCCTGGAACAATCCAAAAATCGCATTTCCATTAGAAATTAGTATCTTATTAAATCTGCTGCCAGTATGTTCCCTGACAGAGCTGCCAACAAAAGAAACCAAAGAGCAGCTCTGAGAAGGCACTTACAGATCCTGTGCTTCTACAACTCTCCTGTTGCAACTTTTTTTAAAGCAGCAGCAGAGCAGTTAACCCAAATCTGCAGACCAGAATATTTTCCAAAGTGATCATTCCTGCTTTTGGGTCTTCCACTTTTGGGGGGGTCTTAGCCTATACAGCTTGCTATCACTTTAATAATCATTCATACTCTAAAGATATGGATGAATTATCCAGCTTCCTGTCGTCACTTGTTTATTATTTTCAGCAAAGAACTCCGATAACAATGTTTGCATTCATTCCCTTTCAAATTGTCAGCTTTCATCTTACATGCTCTCATCTGAGACTAGCAGAATTACCCATCAGTAGGATTAAAAAAAGAAAAGAAAAAAAATTCCACAGCAGTTTGGTAGAAGAATAGCTGACAATCTCCTTGTCCTTGAGAAAGGACTGGAGGGAGCAGGGGGCAATATTCAAGAATTATTTTCTGCACTTAAAGAGCTCCTCTAGATTCAGCTGAAGAAGTGCATTTACTTCCCCCGAGCTGAACTGCTCAAGTATTTGCACTCCAGCAGCAGGCACCATTGAGCTCTGGAGCAGGGATTTCCCCCTGCAGTTTGAAGCACTCTCGCACATGAAAAGCTGTGGAACACACTGTAAATGTAGAACTATTACACAACTATTATCTAGTGATGCTGGCATGAGGAAGCTAGAGGGAGGAAACAGGAAGGATATAAATACAAGTCTGCAATCTTTTATATTTTACTCACATAAGGGAAAATCACCAGTGTCCAGAGCTCCAAGAGACACATCTGAGCTACTGTGTTGGTGAATAAAAAGCCCTCAGTGGTACACATTCATTTTACACAGCATCTAAATAAACTGGAAATAGAAATTCAGAGTCTCAGTCCCACAGAAACCTGTAGGCATCATCTGACTTCTAAAGATCAAAATGAGATCTCATATCAACTTACTTTAGTAGACTTTAGCCTTAGTGTTCATTTCTCCGTGCTGCCTTTTCACCTCCACCAGTAAAATGTTTTGATATATGACTCACAGCTAAGAACATTTCAGAGGACACACTCAAAAGATTTGAGCAGACACTGTTCTGGCAGGTTTTTTTAAACAATGAAAAATGTTACTGAAGATTACAGGAACAACCCAGAAGTTGAATGGCTGCTGGGAAGAGTCAATAAACATCACCTTTGCTTGGAAATTAGGAATTTCAGTGCAAGGGTGTATCACCCTCTTACTATTTAGCTTGCTAACTTTACAAACAACATTCCATTCTGTTAGGTATATTTTTGTTGAGATATTTTAGGGGAAAAGAATGCTTGTGAAAATAAAATAATTAGTCCAAAATATTCTCTACCTTTGAAATGGCTGGCACTTTGACAATTCATCTTAAGTCATAAGCATCAAAACAAAAACTCACTGATCCTCACTGCCAGTAATTTTTCAGGAATGCAGCAACCAAAGCTGTGGTAACAACTGGAATTCACCTAAAATACAGTCTTAAAACGATCTTCTTAACATTAAATGCCTTCACATTGTTCTGGCTATGGAAAGTGCCAGAGAGCTCTTTACAGCTATTTTAAAATTAAGGCCTGATGCTGTCAGGATCAAAGTACTTCTGGGTGACAGAAAGGAGCCTTCACACGTAAAAGGGGAATCAACACTCTGTCCTTCTGCTTCTCAGACCCGAGCAGAATGGAGCTGGTGGAGGAGGACGTGCACAAGACGAACACGGCCAGAGAACCTGCAGAGCCAACACTGTAAAGAGCACACAATGCTCGGCGTGTAAAGGACAGCATGATCTCAGCACAACAAAGTTGACTTTGCATTAACATCTCCTGTACGCGGCAAAACGTGGACACCCTGACACGAGAGATGTTTAAATACGCATTTTGCAATAGGGATCCCTCTCCCAGGTCCCTTCCACAGCTGCTGCTATTTATGTGGCAAACCTCCTGTATACACACCACGACACTTCAAACAAAGGTTCCCGTTGATTCCTATGAGCACCATCCTTGCAGCTCACCAGTTCTCGGGGGCACCGAGCGCTGAGGTCACCGCCGAGCCCTTCACCTGCCTCCCAACACCTGCTCAGAGCCCGAGCCCACCTATGCAGCCCTGGGAGACCTCCCTCCCGCAGGCAGCCCCAGCAGCTCAAGGAACAGCTTCTACCGAACTGCATTTTGCTTACTCGCCTCCACAGCCCTCCAGTACGTCTGTCTCTTTCTATATTTTAAGCTCATCTCCATCTTCGGGGGACCAAGCAGCCAGGGAACCATATCACACCGCCACCTCCACTCCCTCCCCTTTACCACGTCTCCTAACAACGCCACGTAGATGCAGATAATCATCTGGGATGAGCACTCCAGGCAGTGCTCGGTGTTCCTGAGGGAGCACATTCCACTCACACGCCCCAGCCCCTCTCCCCCAGCCCGGCTCCGTCCGAGCCCGCTCCCCCCTCACACCGCCCCGCGAGCACAAGGACCCCACTTCTCTCCCAGCTCCCTTCCAGCTCTTTTTGTGTCCCCGGCGTGCCCGGGGAGCTCCCCCGTCCCCTCAGGGCACGGAGACACCGGGGAAGAGCCGCATATTCCAGGCACGTCCCTCTCCCTCCGCGGAGGGGGATGGGAACAGCAGCAGCGGAGCGGCACCAGCCGAGACGTCAAGCGGAGGAAAAACGAGGACAGGCGGGAACTACGCGACAGGAATCGTTCCCAACCTCCATCCCACAGCCCCGGGGCTCCCGAGGCGGGGAGAACGGGGTGGGGAGAAGGGGCTCCCCCTCAGCGCTGCTCGGGCGGGACGCTGAGGGCGTTAACGCGCTCCCCCCCGCGCCGGGGGCGGCCCGGCACCCACCTTGAGAGTGGGGTACTCCTGCACCTTCAGAGTCATTGAGAGCTGAGCGGCTGATTCCTGCACCGCCATCTTGGATCGGGCACCGGCCGCCTCCCCCCTCCCTCCTTTCCCGCCCGCCCTCCTTCCCAGCGCGTCCCGGCGGGAGCTACCTACGGCGCGCGCGGCATGCCGGGAAACGGCGCGCGCCCCGCCCCGGCCCGGCCCTCATGGACACGGGCCGAACCAACGCCGCGCGCTCCCCCCCTCTCGCCACCCCGCGCCGCCGCAGCTTGGTACGCTCCGAGGGGGCGGTGACGGACGGAGAGCGACGGCGCGCCGGCCAATGAGCGGCTGCCTTCCCTCACGTTCCTCCGCCGTGACTGTGGGCGCCGCCCCAGAGCTCGGGGAGCCGCGCCTGAATGGGCAGCGGTGTGGGAATGGGCGGGGCCGCGGGGATGCGCGGACAAATCAAATGGGATGACGGCATCGGGATAGGCGGGATTTGGGGGGGTTATGGACACCCAGCCACTCAGGGGCGGCAGAGAGCCGTTTCCTACGGCCCAATCAGAACAGCTTTGGGGCTCAGTGGGCGGGACCTAAAAGTAAATTTTGCTGGTGACTTCAAACGGCCGTTTTAACACCCCCGAGGTGTCCGGGAAGGGGAGGGGCGGGGCGCAGGGCGGGGTGCGATGTGATTGACAGCGCCGCCAGCCAATGCTGTAGCCTCTCAGGTTGACGGGCAGGCTGCTAAACCAATAGGCGGTGCGTCTGGGGCGGGCGGGCGGAGCGGCGGGCGGCGTGTGGCGTGTGGCTGTGTGTACATCGGGAGGGGCGGGGCCGCCCCCGTGAGTTCCGCGGGGCGGAGGGAGCGAGTGAGAGCCAGTGAGGCGGAGACGGCGGGAAGAGGTTTAAATAGCGGAGACGGCGGCAGCCCCCTTGCCCGCGGCTCCCCGGGCCGGCGCCGAGTTTCCCCGGTGAGCGGAGGCGTGGGGCGGGCGCAGCTCCCGCCGCAGCCGGGCCGGTCCCGCCCGCCCCGCGGGGGACGGGGTGGGGAGGGGGGGCGGCTCCGTTCGGCCGCCGGGGGTTCCGGGGGTCCCTTCATGGGCGGCGCCGCCCTCGCAGCCTGGCCGGGCGCGGAGCCGGCGCCGCCGGGCGCTACAGGTGCGGAGCGGGGGCTGCCCCGGGCGGCGCTGCGTGCGCGGGCTCCCGGCGGGATCCCGGCGGGCTGGGGATCTCCATGGCTGCGCTCAGAGGCTTTGCGCGACCCGCTGACCTCTGGCCGGTCCCTGTAAGGTGACAAGCACCGGTTTAAGCGAGCAGTAATTCCTCTGGCGGACGTACGTGAGTGTTTCCACTAAAAAAAAGAAAAAAAAGAAAAGGGAGGCGATCCCGCAGAGTTTCTACTTGTGTGTGTGCGAGGGAATAAAACCGCTCTTGGCGTGTCAGTCCTGATGTAAAAGCTGCTTTCTGGGCAGTGTCTCGGTGTTCGGCTCCTCGCCGTGACCCGCAGGGACACAGGGCACTGGGACAGACCTGCAGCACCGCGAGCTTGAGAGGAAGGGAAAGGTGCCCATAGCTCCGGCCCGTGCAGTAAATACAAACTTCATTCCCTTGCTGAAGTCGATGTCAAAAGTTTAGTTTCGTGATGCACTGGCAGCAAATGTGCTTCAAGCAGTGCGCTGCTTGAGTTTGAAGCTTTAAAGAGCCCCCAAATCCTGTATCTATCAATAACCATGATGATTTTTATGCTCTCTGAACATTGCAGTTATGTTTTTACCGGTCTGCAGAAGACTGAGGGAAGATAAACACCTAGACTTCCAGGAGGAGCAAACACATTTAGCTTTCTTGGTTTGAAAGAGCAAGTATGTTTCTGAGAATATTTAGTGGTATTATTTCTGATGTGCATAGATCTCATTGCACTGAAAGTATCTGTCCCCCACAAAGGGATGGGGGTAAATAAAAGGGAGCGTGGGAAGTTCTGTAGTTGAGTATTGGATTTTCTTTGGGTCTCTTTTTACTGATATTTACTCACAGCTGCCGTAGCATTCAGCCTCGTGCTGACCATAACCAGCAAATGTATGCCTAAACATAATTTACCAAGCCCACACCAGGTGCAAAGCCTTTGTTTGAGAAGTGTGTTAGTAAAACTTTTGTGTTAGTTACACCTGGGATTAGCATTCGTGTCCAGACACGATCTTGGGACTAGATCCTGCAAGAGGGTTTTTATAAGGGGGATTTTGACTCCATTAAGGCCCTGGGCAGGGAATTGTTCACCCTGAGCTGCTTGGGTGGAGGATCGAAAACTTTGCTCAATTGTTGCTGTATTTACAAACATAATTATGTGGCATTGTAAAATATTCCTGTTCTTCCTGTCTGTCTTCAGCATCCTGTAAGCTAATATTTAGAAGGAAATTTGCTCTTCAGTATTCCCCATGATTAATGGTACTGAGCAGCTTGAACTTGGCATACCTTAATTCTGTGATGCCTATAGGGATTCAACGAGTGTGACTTGCCACGTAATTGATCAAGTCATGTATGTATTTGTCCTAGACACTTATTTGCAACAGGTTTTGTTTACATGTAATCTCTTAATGGCCCTTTCTGATAATACAGTAGCTAGTTTAATGTAACACAGACACTCTGTGGATACAGGTTATGTGCTCAGACCGTTTCTGCCTTTAAACTGGAGGGGTTTTGGTGAAGCTCTGTCAGACGTGAGTAGCCAGAGCTAAAGGGGTTGCTTGATGGAACAGATGGCCAAGCAACCATCATGTCAGAGAAAACAGCATGCATTCGTGTATTCTTAGTTTAACACAAGAGGGAGCATGTCTAATCTTTAACCTTTAAATATTGCAACTTCAGAGAGAAAGCTTCAAGTGTTGAGTGTCAACTAATTTATGTTCAAGGCTCCATGTGCAAATATTGATACAACCTATGCCTATTGCTGGCATGTTTTCAGCTTTGGGCTGCAGCTGTGGGTTTATAGTGTAAATGTTGGCATGATAAATGTGGGGATGAGAGCTAAGCTAATGATCTTTTGATGCTGCTAGAATGTGTGGTTTCCTGCTAAATTAAACACAATATTTATGGCTATTGTTATTCCTGGGTATGGTCATTAATATACTAAAGTTGTACTTTTTTCTTAAATATTAGGTTAATATATGTCTTCTGCTTAACCTACCATACAAACTTGTAAAGCCGAGTCTTAATTAAATTAAATTTAGTTTAATTGCCTATATACCTTTGCATTTAGAGTTCTTATAAATGCTACTACTTTATTCTTCAATAGGAAGTATGACGTTGGATCTACTAAGAAGTTTTATACTGTATCTTCTTTATTTTTGACTTGTCCCCTGGTGTCATAAAAGGAAGATGAAAAATCAGCTTCCATTTTGTGTTTCTTGGTATTGTCCAGCTGAATCATAATGTGTTAATGTTTGTCCTCGTTCAGTGTCTTGTTAATGTGAATTAGCAGTTAGTTTAACTTAAGCAGTGTGCAGAGAATACTGCAAACCTTTAGGAGAACTTCACTCATTTGTTTCCAGTAGCCTTCCACTTTGCTCCAGATTAATGATCAGAGAAAAACATCTGCCTGCCCTTGAACACTGCATGCCAATGATGTATCTTTCAGGAGCATAAACACTCCGTGTGTTAGTTGGTGGAGCAGAGCAGAACCCTCCGTGCTCCGCTTCCATACACTGAAGAAACTGCTGTGGATGGAGATTTCACCACACTGCTCCTCTTTCCTCTCCGTGGCCATCGTAACCCCAGTGCCAGGTGGCAGAGCTGGGTGTGTGTGTCACCATCACTTGTGGTGTTTGCAGAGCAGACTGGCCTGAGGCAGGAATGTGCAGCCTGTGCTGGTTCAGGGGGGAAGGAGCACAGCTTGTCCCACTGTTAGTAGAGTTCTCTTCCTCCGAGCAGGTGGGTGTGGTGATATTGTCCATTATCGTGGATTCTCCATGTTTCTTGGCTATTCCATATCAATCAAGACTTATGCTTTGGTTTTCCTGCCCAGCAGGCTTAGGCTGCTGCACAGACTTTACAATAAAGCTGTATTTTTACTTTAAAAGAAAGTAGCAATATGCCTGTATAGTTCATGGTTGGAGGTTTTTTCCTTCATTTTGTTATTGTAACTTTAAACATAACTGAAAAGTGTCAGTGTAAATGGCTTGCGTAGAAAGTGTTATTTCTGTATCTGAGTAAAAACCCAACAAACAAACAAAAGAAAAAGCCCCCACCACCAAAACCCTGCTGTTAACAACAGCAGCAGCTCTTGCCCTGATGTGTCACTGCTTAGAGTGTAGTTGTAAAGTAGTAAATACAGATCAAACACTTTGTTTCCTTATTTTAACATGATTATAAGGACCCTTTCTTTATCCAGGGAAAATGCAGATGCCCTCAGCAGTTTGAGTTACCAAGTTCCCATAATGAATTGGGGTTGAGACCTCAGTAGAGGCTGTGCTGGGTCGTCTGTGGGAGCATTTTCATATCTCTGGTACCAGTCTGGCACCTTTCAGGCAATGTGTGTGCAGAACTTATAAATTATCCCATGTTTATGCAAACTGGGTTTCGATGTTAAGGTATATTTTATATTGCTTTTATTAAATAAAAAAAAAAGGAGGGGGCATTCACAATGTAGGTCAAATTCTTGTGAAACCTCTTTAAAAAAAAAAAGACTTGTATTTGCATAAAAAAAGGCATGTGGGACTGTCTGAGAAGTGCACAGAGTCCTGTAACTTTCTGAATGGTTTAAATGGGTGATTTAAAATGCAAAGAGAAGGGGGTTTACCTGCAATATTTTTGGCCATAAGCATTTTTTCTTTTTTTTTTTTTTTTTTTTTCCTTTCTGAATTACAGCCCCCTGAAAATGGGGGGGTTTAGAAAGAAAGTGCTGACACAGCCTTGACTACAGAGCAGTGCCCTGCTTGCCGCTGCAATAATTGTCCGGGCAGTGTTTTCTGCTTCCCTGCCATTTTGCTTTACATCGCTCCAACCCGTTCCATTTTTAACTTTCCCAAAGTTTGGTATTATTGCGAGCCCCCGGCGTGCGTGCGGCCGCGGGAGCAGCGAGGGTGGCAGAGTAGCATGGACTTGTTAATCTCAGCCTGATCTTGTCAGCAACAGCAGAGCAGAGGGAGAGAGACACACGCACAACT